CATGGTAGTATCTAATCTGAGGTGATGGTGTTGGTGGCTGTGGTGTTTCTGACCATGGTGGTATCTGTGGTGATGGTGTTGGTGGATGTGGTGTTCCTGACTGTGGTGGTATCTGAGGTGATGGTTTTGGTGGCTGTGGTGTTCCTGACTGTGGTGGTATCTGTGGTGATGGTGTTGGTGGCTGTGGTGTTCCTGACTGTGGTGACATCTGTGGTGAAGGTGTTGGTGGCTGTGATGTTCCTGACCGTGGTGGTATCTGAGGTGATGGTGTTGGTGTCTGTGGTGTTCCTGACCATGGTGGTGTCTGAGGTGATGGTGTTGGTGGCTGTGGTGTTCCTGACCATGGTGGTGTCTGAGGTGATGGTGTTGGTGGCTGTGGTGTTCCTGACTGTGGTGACATCTGTGGTGAAGGTGTTGGTGGCAGTGATGTTCCTGACCATGGTGGTGTCTGAGGTGATGGTGTTGGTGACTGTGGTGTTCCTTACCATGGTGGTGTCTGAGGTGATGGTGTTGGTGGCTGTGGTGTTCCTGACAATTGTGGTTCTTGTGGTGATGGTATCAACATCTGTGTCAGGGAAGACCACCTATGATACCCTCTGTTAGACTTTGGGGTGGAGTCTGCTTCCAGCCTGGAACCAAGAGCAACTTCAGGACAGACACCACCACCCCTCACTCTACCCTCTCTGCCCATAAACCACCCCAATGCCCACTACACTCACCCCTGAGCATCTCCTCCATCCCAGGTTCTGTGTGTAACACATGCCCAGAGATGTGGGTCAACTTCCAGCGAAAATGCTACTACTTCGGTAAGGACTCCTGGACGTGGCTCCAGGCCAAGCATGCCTGTAGCGAGCTGCGTGGACGACTGGTCAGCATCCACAGTTCAGAGGAGCAGGTGGGCCTGGAGCTCTGCAGAGAGCATACTCTCCTATACAGGGGACGGGAGGGAGGGACCCAAGTATGTTCCCTCAGTCCTCCAGCCTGTAATGCCTCCCAGGACTTCCTGAGAAGATGTATCAAGGAGAAGGACTCATGGACTGGCCTCCAGGACCTGGACATGGAAGGCGAGTTTGTCTGGTTGGATGGGAGCCCGATGGACTACAGGTTAGGAGCAGGGAATCCTCACGGAGGGAGGAGCTCCCTGGATGCGCCCTTGGGGAAGAAGGGACCCAGGGCTCAGAGAGTGAGTCTCCAGGGTGCAAACCCAAGAGTGAGGCTATGTGGAGCGAGAGGGGGTCCTGGAGGGCCTCAGAGTCAGGGTTCTCTGGCACGCAGGGAGAAAGGGAGGTATGAGTCCCAACGGAAGGATGCTTTTAGAGCTGCAGGTGCAGGATGGGAGAAATGGGCTGGTAGCTTCGGGAGGGGAAACAGAAGCGCTGAGGAGAGGAAGTCCAGGTTCAGACTCACAGAGGGGGACCCACTCTGCCTGTTTCTGGGTGCTGTCCAGCCAATTCCTCCTCATGGTGGCCCTGCGGCACGGAGTAGAGCATACAATGGCATTTCCTAAGCTGTCATCTTTAGAGGAGCAGAGTCAGGTCTCTTCTCCTGCCGAGCCACTGGGAGAGTTCGAACCACTAACTTTTCAGTTAGCACCTGAGTGCTTAATCATGGTGCCACTGGGGCTCCTTGCTCAGCCATGAGAAGGGAGGAGAGTTGAGGGCAGGTCCCCAGGTCTGAACTTAGGGAAAACTTCTGGACTGCAGCCAAGAAGGATGTCAGGGTTTAGGGTACCTGGCCCAGGTGGAAGGTGGGAAGAAGGTGGGAAGAGGGACATCTCTGTGCTGTAGGGAGCTGGGGCTGGAGGCACATGGGGAGGGCATGCAGACTCTGAAGGGGGTGTCTAGGCTGCAGGGAATGAGGCTGAGAGACAGAGGTCTTCCTTCCCCATGCCCTGACCTGGACCCTTCACTCTAGCAACTGGCAAGTGGGGGAGCCCAACAACCAATACCAGGGTGAGGACTGCATGATGATGCTCGGCTCTTCCGGCCAGTGGAACGATGTCTCCTGTTATAGCGAGCTGAACAGCTGGGTGTGTGAGCGGCTGGCCACGTGCTGACTGGCGCACCCTCGGACCTGCCCTGGGACATTACAACTGGCTGCCTCCTTGTACCCCTCCCTGCCTGGCTTCCTTCCCGTCTTCCTTCGGACAACAGCCAGGCCCAGAGCAGGACACTGAGCACCCTCCCGTCCAGCCGGGCGTCAGGCAGCTAACCCCTCCTGTGGATATTTGTGTCCCCTCAACATATGGAGTAAAGCCCTGTAGCTGTGGTCCAGTTGGAAAATAGGGTGCTCTTATGTTATGTTAATGAGCCATACCAGAGTAGGATGGGTCCTAAACACCTGGGGGGAGGAGGGGAGAGAACAAACATCATGTGAGAGCCTGTCTATTGGCAGAAGAAAGCCAAGGATTGAGGCCAGATACCAGGAACCAGAGAAGCCACAGGAGGATGTGGACCTTTGGCCTCCAGGATGGGCCTTTAAATCCACCCCCACATGATAATTCTCTTATGGGCAAACCAAAAACCCAACCAGTTGCCACTGTGTTGATTGTGCCAGAGAACTGTTCCACAGGGTTGTTCATGACTGAGTTTTCTGCCAAGGCACCTCTGGGTGGGGTCGAACCTTCAACCTTTCAGTTAGTAGCCGCATGCAGCACTGGGTAACTAAGACAATGCCCCAGATAGCCTCTGTCCCTCCAAGTTCCCACTGCAGGAACCCCTATAGGACAAGTACAAAGGCTAGAAGTGCTTTCCCCACAAGCGGGCGCCATGCCTGTCAGCCAAGCTTTCCAAGGGAGCCTCTCCCTCAGATCTCTGTGTGCGCTCTCTTTGACTTCTACTCTCCCTCCCTTCTCCAGAGGCAGCCCTGAGAGGGGGACACACTGGAGTAAAGACCCCAGCTCAGGCAGAGTTCCCTAGCTGCCAACCCTCAGCTGCCTGTGTTAACTAAATAGGTGACACCTCACCCTTCTTCCAAAGTCTCCAGACATGACCAGTGAGACTGGGCATTTCAGGGCAAGGTATCTAGACAGTCCCTGAGGAGGGGGGTAACACAGGTGGGAGTCACCCTAATTTTCATACTTTGTCACAAGAAGCTCTTACTAGTTGTGCCCTGGAGATTTGGACTCCACAGTCTAAGGGTTAGACAGTGGCCAGCAGGTTTCATAGACGCCGTGTCTACATTTGTTTTTCCATGTGATGCAAATATATCCACGAATAGAGCAGATCATAGAGGGGGCAGACTTATGAAAATGTCTCAGCCTGGCAGAAATGAATTATTTGACTTGGGGTTCAGGACCATAGTCTCAGGGGACACCAAGGCCAATAGTCTACTCTCTACTTTGGTAAGTAACCAGTGGGGTCTTAAAAGCTGGTGAGCAGCCACCTAAAGCGCAACTCTTGATCTCTCCCCTTCTGGAGCAAAGAGGAGTGAAGAGAATCAGATGTGTGGTCCACAGGACTAATGAATTATCTCCACCCCAGCCTCCATGGCTCTGAGACCAGAACTAGATGGTGCCTGGCTATGTTGTTGACCATTCTGAAAGAAACCATACTTAAGAGGTCCTGGATACCGTGATGGAAAAATGTGACGCAAAATTGTAAAACAAATCAAAAGGATGAGGCTTACTGGTCTGACAAGACTGGCGGAACCTCCCAAGACTGTGGCCCTTAGACACCCTTCAAGCCTGGAACTGAATTCACCCCCATGGTTCAACTTTCCGTTCAAAGATAGGCCTATAAGCTGAGTCTGGCATACATGCAGTCCTTAGAACCTCCAACCATACAAAATCAAACAGGCAGCATTTGCACAGAGATGAAGTCCGAAAGGCAACAGGAGGAAAAAAATTTTTTAAAACCCAAAACACTGACGTCCAATGGGCCAGAGAACATTCCAGATGCCCCAGGAATCTTGAGTAAGGGCGTGGACCTTCTAGGCAGAGGAGATGGGTACCAAGCTCACAGGGCTGCTGGGGGAGGGACTGAGTCATTACACAGGAAGAACAGGGCCTGGGACCCAGTAGGCACCCAGCAGGGGGCATGCTGGGGCTGATGTGAAGTAGCCTGGTCAGATACAGAGAGGGCGCCAATCCCAGGCTTGGCCAAGGTCAGCCATGGATCTGAGGTGGGGGAAGGTCAGGACTCCTCGCCTGCCCTCTTAACCCTGTCCAATTAGCATAGGAGGGGTCCAAGAGGGTACCATGACTCTAGGATCCACTCAAGAGGGAGGAATCTGGAGACCCACATACCTTCCCCCAGCCACGCCCTCAGCAGGGGATATCTCCGGAGGGTCACCTGGGGTCTGGTTATAGCCCAAGCTGGGGAGGGGTCAGGCCTGCATCAGGACCCACAGGCCTTTGCACTGGCTGCCTCCCTGCCTAGAACACTGTTGGAGTCAGCCTCTGACCCTTGCCCTCCCACTCCTGCAGGGTCAGTTCAGGATGGACCACTGTGCCCCAGTTTTCATTGGCTGGTTTTCAGAAGGTGTTCACCAGGCCTTTTTCCTAGTCTGCACGCGGTGCTCTGGTAGCTGGGACTCGAACCCCAGTCTCACACGTAGAAGGCAAAAATGCTACCACTGCACCACCACTGGTGAGAGCTGCTGTAGAGTTGGTGACCTGTCTGACTACTGCCACCTGCTCCAAACCAGGGCCCTGCTACACAATCCAACAGCTGGTTTCAAACCTTCTCCCTTCTCCACCAGCCCCTGCCTCATCCTCAGTGAAGAACAGACCCCAGACCCTCCTCTTCAACCTACAAGTTCCCTGAATCCCTCCCACACATGCGCATCACCCAGGTAACATGGCAGAGCTGACCTGCTGCTGCTTCTGTTCCTGCAGTCTGACACCTGTCCCAACAGGCCCCGGAAACCCCTGGTGGCAAAACCTGAAACCAATCCTGAGGTTTCCCCAGGGTTGGGAAATCAGGGTCCCAACATTACTGACTCTCACACCTTCCTGTCTTGCTTCCTGGGGCCCACCCAGATGCCCCTGTGGGCCACCTCCTCTAGACATGTGATTTCATCTCTTCACAGACCCCCAAACCTCCTTCCTGATCTCAATTCCCAACCCCCAAGACCTGTGTGTGTATCTGAGGCAGACAGAAAAACGGGGTTCAGGGATCAGGATTAAGCATGAGCCACTTATCAATTGAAGTCTTGTGACTAAAACCTTAAGGAATGTTAAGGCCTGTGTGCTTGAACAATTGTGAGATGTGCAGGAGATGTTGGGGTGCACAGCTCAGCAAGCCACATCCTGGGATACGCTCTTAAGATAAACCACCCATTAAAAGTCTGTGTTTTAGTCCCATGTAAGATGGGACACACCATTAAGGAAGACCACCAATTCAGTTCTGTTCTCCCTTCCTTGTAGGATGTTTTGCAGGCCAGACTGGTTTAGCCAGTGCTGCAGGCGTTAACTTTGGAGTCCTGGTGTGGTGCTGTGGGTTATAAAACACTGGACTGTAAGATCAGTTTGAATTCAAGGTCGGTGGGTCAAACTCATCAACTACTCCTTAGAAACCCTATTGCATGTTGTTGTTAAGTGCCGTGGAGTCGATTCCGACCCATAGTGACCCTATATAGGGTCTCCAAGGAGGAGCTGATGAGCTTGAACCTTCGACGTTGCAGTTCAAACGACTTTGCAAGCTGACATATTAGCCCACAGGTCCCTATAAGTCGTAACAGACTTCCAAGGCACTTAACAACAGGTCTAACTTTGGAGTGGTTGTAGGATAAGCACTCTACCACAAGGTCAGTTTGAACCACAAGGTCAGCTGTTCAAAACCACCTTGAAAACTCCTTGAAAACTAATACAGGGTCACTATGGGTCGGAACTGACTCAACAAGTGCTTAACAGGCATAACTTTAAAGGACTACCTTCTGCTGGGGAAGTGGAGAACACAGCCCCTTGGAAGGGTTTGAACCGGGGTATCAAAAAACCACCCATGCTAGACATCCGAGAAAAATTTGTCTGCAACTTTGCGACAGAATCCATCTTGAAGAAATGCCCAATTAATATGACCACTCCTAAACAGATCACTTCCCAGAAATTATCACCTCCCCTTATGATTAAACACGATGCCTTTTCCCACCTAAAGCCAGAAGTCAGGGGTCAGCATGGGTCATGCACTTGTTGTATTAAATTCTCCGTCTCTGCTTATAAGCCTTTTTCCTACAATAAACCTGTACTTGTGTGGACACCGCCCTCCCCACCCCCGCCTGAGTATTTTTAATCAGAAGGCAAGAGCTCTTTCTCAGGGCAGAGGTGCAATTAGTCTTCCTGGTAAACACGTTTGCCACAAATCCACCTCCCTAAGTCAGCACAACACCCTGCACCCTGCGCCCCAGCCCAGCTCCTCTGGACCTCACTTCTCTCCCGAGTCTGGCATTCCACACCTATTTCTTACTCGCATGCAGTGAGCAACATTACAGGTGCTCTGTGCATTTATCTGGATGATGCCCCCTTTGCAATGTGCTGAAGCCCAGTTACTCTGTACTTTCCAGCTTTCCAGTATAGCCCAATCTACCATCACCGCAGGTGGAGATGGCTGAAACTGCCCCGCACTCCCCAGGATGTTGTTAAGTGACATGCAGTCGGGCCCAATTCCTGTGGATCCTACACGAGAGTTCTGAAGGTGGGTTTGAAAGACTGACCTGTGGTTAGTAGTCCAGCGCTCTACAGCACCACACCAGGACACCACGTGCACGTGTTTAAATCGTGAATTCAAAAATTAAAAAAGCCCAAAGCACCAAGATGAGTTAGGCTGCGAACCTCAAGATCAGCAGTTCGAAACTACCAGTGGTTCCACAGGAGAAAGATGAGGCTTTCTGCTCCTGCAAAGATTTATAGCCTTGGAAACCCTATGCAGGGTCGCTATGAGTTGGAACCAACTCCACTGCAGCACTTTAACAACAAAGCACTGAGATGATACCAGATTCAGCCTAGCCTGTCCTCTTGGACAATCAGAGCCTCAGAGTGGGGGTTTTTCAAGTGTGGTCTCGGGAATATGAGTAGCTCCTGAGGAGCTAGTTGTTGATAAGTGTATTTGACTCGGTTCCGACCCATAGCAACCCTGTATAGGGTTTCTGAGGAGCAGGTGGTGAGCTTGAACTGCCGACCTTGCAGTTCAAACAGTTTTGCAGTCTAGTGCATTAACCCACAGCGCCACATCAGGACTCCTGGGGGGACCAGTAGGCGAGGTTAATTCTGGGATCACCACAGCCCTGGAGAATCGGTAACACTGGGGCTGGGGTTGGGGCCCAGCCATCAGTGTTTTGGGAGCCCGCTAGGCCTTGCGGACAGTCATTTGGGAACCCTAGCCACAGAGCTCAAACTAAGGTCCCCAGGAGATGCCTGGGGCTCATGCTGAAATGCGGAGGCTGTGTGTGGCTGGAGCAGCACCCGCTGAGCAGCACAGACCGACTGCGGCAGCCTTCAGTGCAGGAGTGGGGTAGACTTATTTACAATGTGTCCTTGGGTCTGCTGAGTGGTGCCAACAGACAGCACTCCGATGCTAACCAGACCTCAGAGGTTTGACATCAGCCAGGCCTGGCGATATCCCTCAGCAACCTCTGAAAGCCTTCAGGAGCACGGTTCATTTCTGACACGCCTGGGGACTCCATGAATCAGAGCTGCCTCCCAAGCAGCTGGATTTCCGGGAATGTTCAGGGCCCTGGTCTATAGGAGTCTATCTCGGGATGATTCCCACCTGCCCCACGCCCACGCGAGCCCAAAGGCGGCTTCCAACTGTGATTCCAGAAGGTGCCAGTGGTCTCCCTACCCCGACCAGCAGCTTGGACGGTCACCTCCCCATTGCTTCCCCACCCGCCCAGTTGCCCAGCCCCATTGTATTATAAGTATGTTTGGGCCTGGGCCTCCCTCACAAACCTGGGGACAGGGCCTCATGTCTGAGATTCCCACACAAGACACAAAACACACTGGGGAAGGGAGCTCAGCATCCTTTATCTCCTGCAGGTCAGCGGCCCTCCAGGGCTCGGTCTCGGGCGATGACTGCTTCCTCAAACTTGATCATGAGCGTGGTACCCTTGTGCCAATGCGCCGTGACCTTGGCAGGGAAGCCACTGTGCGTGAGCACCGCCTCCACGATGCCCGCCGTGAAGCTAGCGCAGTTGAGTGTGCTGTTCTCCTTGGGCACTGAGATGTAGGTGTTGATGAGCGGCTCGCGCTCGATGATGTAGAAAGTGCGCGCATCGTCGTTGGCCTGTTCCAGCTTGTCCGCCTCCTTGCCGAAGAGTGCCTTCCACACAGCGCCCTTGACGAAGAGCAGCGCGCCCAGCACCTTGGTCTCCCGCCGGGCACCCTTTTCACGTGCCACCAACGCATCCAGCACGCGGGCACCCACCTGGCGGCCCAGTGCGGCCAGGCGCGCCTGTAGCTCGGCCACGGAGAAGACGCGACTCTGACAGTGCTGCACCAGCTCGGAGAAGAGCAGAGCGAAAGCGCTCAGACTCACTTCGGTGCGCGGTCGCACTAGCGCCCGCTCTAGCAGGGCCGACTTCCCGCGCGTGAAGCGCGCCTCCATGGCGCTGCCCTGCTGGGACTAGGAAGAAACACAGGTGTCAGGGGCCATGAAGAGGGGCCCCAGAGGGGAGGTCAGGGAAAGGAGGCTGGAAGGGGCGCTGTAATACACCCCCGTCCACAAGAAAAGAGGCTGCCCCACCTGCGCAACTAACCAACAAGAATAAACAAGTGGGGGAACTCTGGTAACCATCCCAACCTTCGCACCTGGGGGGGGGTTTCCGGAGGTCTTCAAGCCTTCTCCACCATGGGTGAGAGTAACTAAAGATCTGATTAGGGATGAGGAGGGGAGGTATCAGAACCAAGGCAAGAAAGGGAAATGATTGGAGAACCTTGAGGGGGCACAGAGACAGGCAAGCGGAAGAAACAGAAGGGAGGAGGGTGGAGTCAAGACCAACAGCCAAGAGGGTTCCGAGTTACCTGGGGCAGGCCTCCCAATCCTGCGCCCTCGGGTAGCACCAATTTGCCATTCATAAAACGTGCCCCCTTTGCTACGTGGGTGAGCCTGGGCTCAAATAAATACTGGAAAAAGGGCTCAGAGCAGGTCTTTTATTCCCATGTTCTACAGAAAGGGAATGGGAGGATGGAAAATTAAAGGCATGGGGAGAGCTGTCAGAGCCAGAGTTTGGGGAAGCCAGGAGAGGGCGCTGTGATTCCCCCTTGTTAACAGAAGACAACGCTGTCCGTGGGGAAAGAAAGAGGTTTAGGCGGTGGATGGAAAAGACCCCCGAGGCTGGGGCTGGCAGAGGGTGGAGGATCGCAGGGGCGCTGAGAACAGACCCCTCGTCACCCACTAGGGCGCCAGGAGTCCCGCCATGGGTGGGATGGGAAGGGAAGGGGCGCAGAGACGGAATCAGAAGCGAGAGCGGTCTGGGGTTGCTGCCGGGGAAACCAGGGGTTCTGGGGGGTAGCGCACCACGGAAGGACCCAGAGCGCGCGACGGGCGAGTGTTGAGAGCCCCTCCCTGGGATACGATGGGGGTGCGTTAGCTGAGCGGAAAGGACCCCAGGGCCCCAGGGGCAGCGAGACCCCTGCCCTGGCGTGGAACCCGTAGAAGGGCCAGAGAGAAGCCCACCGCCCTCGCGGCTCCCCAGGGTCGGCCGAACCGGGAAGACTGAAGCTCGAGGACGTCAAAATCCTGGCACAGAGCCCAAAAGCCTGCGGTGGGAATGGTGGTGATGGTGACACGGCACGAACGAGGCAGGGCGCGAATAGGGGTCGCGGACGAGTGGAGACTTACCGGGAGCTACGAGCCTCGGTTCCACCGCGCTGCTTTACGGCACTGCAAAAGGCCCTGTGTGCGCAGGCGCGGCGGTGGAACGGCCTTGTGGGCGGTGTAAACGCGGTGTTTCTCGGAACGGCCGCGTGGGGGCGCGCGTGCCAGTGTTCTGCCCACGGCTAAGCCCGCTGTTCTCGGCGGCCAGCGGCCTCACTGGTCAGGGTTGACCCACGCTAAGGGCAGTAGCACACTTGTTCACCTAACCAGGAGCACACGGATGCATTTGGGCGCACGCCCTCTTGTCTCAGGGCCAGATGTTCTCTTGGTTACCTGACCAGGAGGCATGAATGACCAGGAGAGCACATTTTCTTAGGGGCACACACAATCCATGAGTTTTGGGCATAGTTATACGAGTATGGACACATACTTAATAGTAGTAGTTAGTAGTTAGTGGCTAACTGCCATCGAGTCAGATCCGACTCATAGCGACCATGTATGGGGTTTCTGAGGAGTGGCTGGTGGGTTTGAACCACCAATCTTGAGGGTCCATTGCTTTATCCCATAGTGCCCCACCAGGACTCCATGCTTAGGGCACATATATACTTATGGTCACACATTCAGCACAATCACACCCATGGGTAAATATTGAACAAAAACAAGCAAATCCACTCCTATGAGTCGATTCCGACTCATAGCAACCCTATATCTGCTTCCCAAGCCTGTAAATCTTTACAGGAGCAGCCAGCCTCCTCTTCCTTGCTCATGAGCAGCTCAATGTCTAACCCTCAGCGCCACTAGGCTTCTCTCTCTAGTGTAGTGGGTTACGTGTTGGGCTGCCAATTCCAATCCAACAGATGCTCTGCAGTAGAAAGATGAGGCTTTCTGCTCCTTTAAAGATTTACAGGAGCTCTGGTAGCATAGTCACGCTGTCAACTTCAAGGTCAACAGTTCAAAACTACCAGCGGCTCCTCAGGAGAAAGATGAGGCATTCTGCTCCTGTAAAGATTTACAGCCTAAGAAACCCTGTGCAGGGTATGAGTTGGAACTGACACCACAGTACTTAACAACAACAAAGATTTACAGCTTTGAAAACTCCACAGAGGGTCACTATGAGTCAGAACCAACTCCAGGGCACTTAACCATTACCATATATTAGTACTCCTGGCATGCTGACATGACACGATAAAATATGCAGTGGGCCTCAAGGTCAGTTTGAAGGGAAAGGTTGGCAGTTCAAACCCACCAGCTGCTCCTTGGGAACCCTATATGGGGTCGTTATGAGTCGGAACCAACTTAATGTTGGTGCTGTTAAATGCCATCAAGTCTGTACCAACTCGTAGCGACCCTATGTCCAACAGAGTGAAACACTGCCTGGTCCTGTGCCAACCTCACAATTGTTGCCACACTTGAGCCCATTGCTGTTGCCATTGTGCCAACCCATCCCATTGGGGGTCTCCCTCTTTTCCTCTGACCCTCCATTTACCAAACATGATATCCTTCTCTAAGGATTGGTCCCTCCTGATAATACGTCCGAAGTATAAGAAATGAAGTTTGACCATTCTAGCTTCCAAAGGGTCCTCTGACTCCAACACAGATCTATTGGTTCTTCTGGAAGTCCATGGTACTTTCAATATTCTTCTCCAACACCATAACTCAAACGCATCAATTCTTCTACAGTCTTCCTTATTCACTGTACAACTTTCACATGCATATGAGATCATTGTAAATACCATAACTTGGATCAGGCGCACCTTAGTCCTCAAACTACCATCTTTGCTCTTCAACACTTTAAAGAGGTCTTGTGGAGCAGACTTGCCTAATGAAGTACATAGTTTAATTTGTTGACTGCTGCTTCTATGAGTGTTGATGGTTGATCAGAGAAATATGAACTCTTTGACAACTTCAATCTTGTCTCCATTTATATGCTTTGAATTGCAAGGTCGATGGTTCAAATTCACCAGCCACTCCTCGGAAACCAACTCGATGACAGTTAACAACAAAAACAACAATGCTGACAGTGTTCCACTGATATTCATAAGATTTTCAGTGACTAAACATTCAGAAGTAGTCCATCAGTCTGTGGTACTGTGTTGGCTTGTGTGTTACTGTGAATCTGGAAGCTATGTCAGATTCTTCCACCACTCGTCTGTCACTTTGTCATACTGTGGCGGCTTTGTATTGCTGTGGTTCTGGAAAATAGGCCATGAGTATTTTAAATACCAACAGGGTCACCCACGGTGGACAGGTTTCAGATGAGCTTCCAGACTAATGAAGACAGACTAGGAAGGAGAGATGAACTACTTCCAAGTATTTAGTCACTGAAAAGGTTATGAATAGCAGTGAAACACTGTCAGATACAGTATCAGAAAATGAGCCCCTCAGGTTGAAGGCACTCAAACTATGACTGGGGGAGAGCTGCCTCCTTAAAGTAGAGTTGACTGTGATGACATGAACTGAGTAAAGTCCTCGGGGACTTCATTCATTGATGGGTGGGGCACAACTGAAAATGAAGAGGAACAGCTGTAACTTCCATTAATAATTGGAACATGGAATGTTCTAGGAAAATTGGAAATTGTCAAAAATGAAATGGAACGCATCAACATCGATATCTTAGACATTAGTGAGCGGAAATGGACTGGTATTGGCAATTTTGAATCTGGCAATCACATGGTTTACTATGGAGGTATGAAAAATTGAAGTGGGATGGTGTTGCATTCGTCGTCAAAAAGAACATATCAAGATCTGTCATGAGGTACAATGCTGTCTGTGATAGAATAATATCCATGTGCCTACAGGGAAGAAGGCTACAGCATGAGGGCTTCTATCATGGAGGGCGGCGGCTAAACAATGTGCGACAACTGCGCAGACCTGGTGGAGGTGTTAAATGAAACCCAGACCACGGAGCGGAGGGGTGAGAGGTGTCTGGAGACCAGGTCAATGGGGAGACGCTGCCTAGCGGGAAGAGACTGCAGGGGCGGTAAGGCTGTCCTACTTACCCTGGACGTGAGAGCGCCGTCCTAGCCTAACCTTTGGATCATGGCTTTGAGGCGGGGTAGACCAACTTAGAGACCCACAAGTGCAGCCCAAAGCATCTCACTACAACCCAGTCGCCCCTGCTGTGCTTCCACCTCTTGATTGACATCCGAGGACAGAAATCCCGCCTTTGAGCCAGACTTAAGGGCCCTAGCACAAGGAGATTCCTATTTAACAGCAATCACGCAAGCGCCATTCGTCTGTCTGTCGTGCTGTCGTGATTTGAATTGCTAAGATTCTGAGGGCTATGCCACTGGTATTTTAAATAACCAGCAGGGTCACCCATGGTGGACATGTTCCAGATGAGCTTCCAAACAAAGACAGACTAGGAAGAAAGAGTGACAAACTACTTCCGAATTGCTAGTCACTGAAAACTCTATGAAAAGCAGAGAAACACTGTCAGATACAGGACCGGAAGGTGGGAAGGCACTCAGAATGCGAC